CAAGGGAAGCTGTGAGGCTTCATTTGACCCAAGTCCCATATGTCACTTCTGCTGCCTTCTATTCCTCAAGCAGGTTACTAGAGGCAGCTGAGCTATAAGGGAAAAATGTATTAGATTGCACCTAATACTCTCCAGAGTAGCAAGTTATGGACTATGAAGGAGCTGGTTGTAAAATTCCTTTGGGGAATAAATCAGTCTTGTAATTGCTGGTTGCCTAACAGCTACTGGGTATTTGAGGAGAGGAAATGAAATGTTAACACATTGTTCACTCCACTTTGTATTTGACTTTTGCCTTATTACAGTAAAATCAGTGAGCCTGGCTTTGAGTCCCCATGGCATTAATTTTGATGGTAATAATGCTAATTATGTATGGACTACAGTGGCAAGAGAGGACTCAGAGATGACACAAAGCTTTAAGGAGGAGTGGCTGGGAATATGGTTTTTTTATCTAACTAAAATAAGAGACCCAGGAGGATAAATAAGTTTGAGGCAAACAGTATCATTATGCTTTAGACTGTGAGTAACAAAACCAGAAGTAGCCTAAAGCTACTTTTTCTCACAGAAGTAGTCTCGGGACAAGTAGTTCTCAGTTGGATTCTCAACTGTAAGCTATTGGGACCCATTCCCCTTCCATGAGAGTCTTTGACCTTCCTCTTAGATTGCAAAGTGAACACCCAGCTGCAAACATAACATTAATTTTTACTAACAGAGGAAGGAAAGAATCTCTCCTGATGTCTCCCATCTGAGGACCATCACCCCAGTTTCTCTTAAATGGTCAGATGGGGCCACATTTCCATGTGCCAGCCTTAGGGGAGACCAGGAGAGCCAGTCTTGGTATTTTCAGGCTTTTCCATGGAAGCCAGCCCAGCTTGCAGGGAGGAAGGCATGGGGTTGGTGACCAGCAGTGTCTGTCACAGCAGCTAATTCTGTTTTTCTCTCCCTGCACAGTTGATAAAGGCTGACTTAGCTTGGATTAAATGAGCTAAATCATAAATAGGAAGTTTGAGTATTTCCTCGAAACGAGTTAGTTTCTCAGTGGGCTTTTTCCCTTTTTACTTTGTGACTGGAAGCTAACTCCCTTGCTTCTGACAGCTAAAAAACTTGCTTCCGTTATACTTTTAAAGTTTGAGTGAAAGCTGTTTGGTTGCCATAAAGACTCATCTCCATCCCATTCTCCATTTTGCAAGATTGCCCTTTTTGGTAACAAAGATATTCTGTCCTTTTAAGCCTCTAAGTGTGTACCTAAGAATTTATAAGAGGGGGAAAATTCCAGAGACATTATGAACTGTGTTTGTATTGGAGTCTGGACCCTCACAGAACTTCTGGAACACTTGGTTGCAGTGGAACCAGGACAGCCAGGTCTCACTGTTCCCGGAAGAGGCCGGGGAGGGCAGAGCTGAGCAAGCCTGTGATGCTAGGAGTAAATCTAAGAAAGTAGATCCTCAACTGAGAAGAAACTGTCTCGGCTCACAAGGGCATTGGGGATTGACGGGAAGCTTTACTTGTTAAACTGGATAGAGTTGGAATCCTTTGCTCTGGATTTGTAATGGTCTCATCTATAATTGTCTAATTGTGAATTTTTGTAACGCAGTAATGTCCACACTTGTAATAAATTTGAGCTGAAAGTGTCACTGCTGATACCTGTGCTAGTCCAACACCCAAAAATAGAATCCAAAAACCTTCTCTTGTATCTGCAACATTCATTCATTCCACTGCCTGCCCTGTCCTTGGTGCCGGATGGAGGAGTAGCTAAAGCCAGTGTACCTATAAGTCACTCACAGTTGTGAGAGGGAGTGAGCAACCGTTCTGCCTCACACATAAGAAAAGAGAATGGGGGAATCAGCATTGTCTGCCAGGCAGGCTGGTTGGGCTGGTTTCCTTATAATTGCCAAGTGTTTAATTTCCAAATTTGAGTTAGTGTTGTAAAATCACATTACATTACAGTAATTGTGTTGGAACTGCATTATAGTGAGTGCAGAAAGAAGCCTTGCCTATTGTCCGTACTGATATTTTACAAATAGATTTCAAAATAACTTGGTGTCTTGGGAAAATTCTTATTTCAAAAGTACCTGAAATGATTGGTTTAAGTCAGTGAATCCCTATTGTACTGGTAGTTGTGTTTCTGAAAATCCTATTTTAAATGTTAAAAAAAATCATTCAAAAATGGATACTTCTAACAACAAAGTAAGTATAATGTCTCTATTCTTGCCAGAAACATAGCAAAACTCTCCTCATGCTTCCCCCAGTCAGCCAAATCTGACCTCTAGGCTCTAATGGGCAAACAGGACCATGGCAGCCCAAATCCATGTCGTTAAGGAAAGTAGGCCCCTCTCCGTTTATTTCTGAGGAGTGGCCATGGGTGTCCTGGTTTTGTCTGCCACCTTTTGCGCCAAGTCCCAGTGCTGGCTTCAGTCCCAGTCTCCAAGTCCAGCTCATCACCCTGCTTCTCCCCACGGGTGCGGACTGTTTGAGTTCTAGCGTGCAGGGCCCCTCACTGGCTAGCCTCCTGTCAGCCTGGCATTAACCTGTCTGGCATTAACCAAGGTAAACTGCACACCAAACTGAAAGTGACTTAAAGGTAGATATCACTCAGAGGCAAAGTTCCTCTGCCATCTCTGCTGTGGAGGGAGTTTTACCTGCTGGCTCAGAGCCATACACCACCCTCCAGGACTTGTTTCTCCCATTAGAATCTCTCTCTCCACTTCCTGTTTTCTCCAGATCCACAGGCATCCCGAGCCAGCCCCTGGCTGAGACTTTCTTAATCCACCAGCCTCAGAGAAGTGTCTGCCTAACCCAGAAGCATTCATCTTTCCTAACCCTGGTCATTTAGACTTCACCACATTTTTAAAAAACTGGCAGAAGTTCAAAGGTATACATTTTCTTTAAATGGGCTCAACATTCAAAACCTCTCGAGTCAAGCATTCAAGGCTTCAGAATGTCAGCACTTTCGTCCTTGTTTGGGGTATGGGAGGTCTTGTGCCCCGCTTTGTTGTGGGCAGTTCCCAGGCATGGTACCACTTTCCCTATAAATAGCCTTTTTCATGTGTGGTGCAGGCTTCCATGATAGTTTGGGTCTTAAGAATAGTTTTAGAATAAAACATCTTAGAAAAATTGTGTCTAGTTACAGTGTAGGGCCTATAAAATGACTATTTCCATTGCTTCCCAGATGTCTGGGGCTCCAGCGCATGGGGTGAGCATAGAAATTGTTTCTGGGCATTGATGTCCCAGAATTTTTGCAAGTGTTTATGTGTTCATGCCAGCAAGCATGTCGCTGAGTAGATTGTAAAATGTACTGTTTTAAGGTAAAGGGGTTTAAGCATGAGGGATTTCACTTCCAGGCTGTTCTATTCTGTAGACGTCTCCAGGAAGTTAAAGCAACTTCCATGGAAGTTTGAGAAACTGTAGTTAAGAAGAAAAATGTGTATATTTTTAAAAGGCATTCTGTTACAGCGCTTATTCACTCTTTTTGGGGATGATTAGTACACCACAGACTTTGTCACATTGTGTAACACGTGCCAAGAAAGTTGTGTTTGAATTTGCTATATTTGTAAATTGAATGTTTCAATGTAATAAGTACTTTTAAGGAATCCTAGGACAAGTTATAAGTAATCATCTTCTGATTATTAGGTTTTTTTGCTCGAGTTTACTACAATTATTTTTCTTCAAGTGGGTTCCTTTAAACATCCACTTAAATTAGTTATTTGCTTTCAAAAATTGTCACATATCAGTGTCATTGAATTGTCTGACAAAGACCGATGAATAATTAAGATTATATTTATTAGTGGAGTTGTGTAGTCTTAAGAAGTATTTTCAGATTCCATCCAGATTAAATATCTAAAATATTCTTATTTCTAATACTCATGTTAATGAAGCACATATAACATCAGTTCAATCACGAAGTTCCTCGGGGCAGATGATTAAATAACCATGAGATTAAGCAGGCTAACTTCAAAGTTCATTTAGAGTGCTGTACTTTATTCCTGTAAGCAATTATATTAGTCAGATGAAATTGCTTAGAGTACATTTTCATTAACATGTTCTGTATGTCCAGCTACTTCCAAATGCTTTCTTGATCTTCATACAGTGTCATCATTCAATGAATGTTTAATAGATGAAGTTATTAAAGTTTTATTTATTATATTTAATATAATAGTAGATGTGAAAATAAATTAGAATGGGTGAGGTATAAGTGAAATAACTTGGAGTACAATTTAAATACTCTTTTTTGTTAATATGGAAATTTAAAAGTATGTGACCACAACATAAGATATGTTCAGACACTTCATTGGGGAGAAAATAAGAATGATAATGGTATTACTATACATTTTCTAGATTATTTGAAAAAACTATTAGGTTTAGTCTAGGCTACAAATAGAAAAGATAAAACTAATTTAGCTACTTTATTAATTCAGTAAATATCTGGCTTAAGCAACTGCATAAATAAGATTTAAATAAGAGGCAGAACAGAGTTTGAGTATGATTATCATTGGCTAGAGTAGTACATTTTACACAGTATAGAAGTCTTCATACAGTATTTATAGGTCTTTTTTTGATGATTCTTTTTCTATGATCATCATCTCACATAGTGAAAGTATGATAGCAAAATGTTACCTGTTGTGTGAAATAAATTTTAAAATTTTAAATAAATCTTATTAGTCTAAAAATTCTATCACTAGATTAACATGTTAAGATTAACATGGAGAAAGTATGTGTGTGTTTCTAAAAACATGATACAAGCAACCTTGGAAACTAGTAAATTAACTTTATTTTTGACAAGTAAAATATTGTTCATACTGAGGTACAGTCTTTGGTAGAACCAGGATCGTGAGTGTCTGCTCTGTAATTCAATGCACAGCACAGGGCAGGCTGACTGTTAGGAAAACGCTGGCTTGTCTTGGGTTTTGTGGGTAGATTGATGTCTCTTGACTACAAATAGAATTGTGGTTCAGTTGCTGAAATGACAGTTTAATGAATTTTTGTCTTTTTTATCTCATTCTTAGGCTATCAGCTGCAAAGGTCAACACAGTATTTCATACACTCTCTCCAGGAATCAGACTGTGGTGGTCGAGTACACACATGATAAAGACACGGATATGTTTCAGGTAACACCATTCTTGTTTTAATAGAAACTAGCTCATTTTTCTTTCAAATTCTGATTTTGATAGGTAACCAGAAATTCTGGCACAGAGGTACTTAGTGAGGTCTAAGGAGGAAAAGAGTGAGGATTCCTATTTCATTTTTGAAGGATTAAGAAAATGCTTGATTCTAAAATTGCAAAAATAAATTATAAAGGTTACGTTTTCGGATCTCAGTGCAATAAAAATAGACTTTAATTAATGAGAATTTAAAAAATTTAAAATCTGCCACTTTTAAAATCCAGTATGTTTAAAATACTTCCAAAATAATACTTGGATCACAGAGAACATTAAAAACTACAGTTATAGGCCTTAAAAAAAATAACTCTGGGAACATTATATAGCAAACTCATGAGAGGTGATGTAAATTATACTTAGAAGAAAATGTAAAATCTTAAATGCTTTCATTATTTGTAAGGAATGAAGGGAGGAAGGACATAAAGAAACTAAAGGAACTTTCCAAAACATTCTTTTTAAAAAATGCTAATAATTAGAACAGGTTCAGGACTAGATTTAGTGGTATATAATAGAAAGACCAGAAATACATCAAAAGAAAGAAGAATAAAGTGGTAAAAATCATCAATTAACTATAAAAGAAAATGATTAATAATATATCCAAGATTTGTCACTTTAAAACAATAGAAATTTGAGATTGATGCTAATAAAGAAAACACAAAGCAAACAAGTTGGGATTGAGACCTTGGATTTCTATATGAAGAGTTTTTAGATATTAAATCAACAATGCTGAAAATGAATAATGTTAATAATTAAATAGCTCTTAAACATAAGAGAATATGCTCAACCTCACATATGAAAAAAGAAATATAATTTCAGATTACACAGGAATGCTATTTTTTATTTATCAGATTGGCAAAAATCCAAAGGTTTTGTCAGAGATGGGGGAAATAGATACCTCCTAAGTCCTATAATTGGTGCCCTCTGTGGGGGAGTAGAGCAGTGATTTGGAAATACCTATGAAGAATATAAAATGCTTCTTGGACTCAGCACTTCTCTTTGTGAAACTTTTCTCTTGCTAGAGATTTACTCCAGAGACATGCAAGATGACATTTGTACCAAGTTACTGCTTATAGCTTTTTTTTTTTAAAGATTTTATTTATTTATTTATTTATTTATTTATTTATTTATTTATTTATTTATACATACATACAATCATTGGGTACAGTCAGAAGCGCGGGAGGGTGAGAGAATTCACCAGAGCCAGAGCGGGGAGCAGAGCAGGCAGAAGGACCGAAGTACACTGCTGAGGGGAGCAGCGGACGGCAGGAGAGGTCTGCGCGCCATGTGGGACCCTCCTCCAGTGGCCGGGGAGCAGCCGGGGATCGAACCCGTGCTGCAGAGGCCGTGGCAGCTTCGCAACCCAGCGCTCAACCACTGCGCCACCGGGGAGGCCCTGCTTATAGCTTTGATTAATAGCAAAGATTGCAATCAACCTACGTATCCTTTCATAAGCACTAGTTCAGTAATTTTGGAATAGAGGCCTCCAAGACTGTAAACCAGAGCAAGAAAAAGCTCCGTGTACAAATATGAAAGGAACTCCAAACATTTAAAGAATTAAAGTTTAACATTATTAAATATATTGAGTCATTGATAGTATTATATTCAATTAAAATTACTTAGTATTAAATGTCAGTATATTTAAAAATCTATGTTTTAAAATATACTAGTGTATTTATTAAATTGGTATTGTTAAGTGATTTAAGTTGTGCTTGTGTGCATTAAAAATCCCTCAAAAGGTAATAAGCAAGGCATTAATAAAGTATTGACCTTTGTGGGAAGGGTGCTAAGCAGATGTACATAGAGAAGCATTTCCCACTTTCAGATTTTTGAATCATGTGAATATGTTAGCTGTTTTAAAAAATATGAGACAATTCTAGATAGAGCCATAGTCCTGTAGTTACATAGTCCTGTAGTGTCAGTTTGAAATCAAGTAAGATGTATCATCCTGAGACAAAATATTAAGTGGTTGTACTCTCCATGCCATTCTATTACATAATCTTTTAAATGTCCAAAGAAAATCTCTACCTACATAATTTCATACATATACTTCCCTGTCAATATTTGAATGGGATTTTATAACTATTTCTTTTTTTAAACTTTCCCAAATGATACATCTTCAATTTGTAAGATTTTGTAGTATAGTTTTAAATAGGGAATTCCCAGTGCTAAAAAAAGAGAAGCAAGAATATTTTACAGTTGTCAGTGGTACATTTTTTACCACTTAAAACCTAGTAACTGTGAAGGCACATGTAATTTTATGTAGTGTGTTTAGTGGCATGTTGTGACAAGGTACGTTCTTCACTGTTACGTGATCATACTCTGCTCAAATCGTTCACTTTCTTCTTTCCCGTCTCTGCAAATGCAAAACGAATGAAAGATTTAGCTGGATTTTCTCTGCTTCTGATTATTGGCTTTTTGTTGTGGTTGGTGGCAAAAACATGTCACCTAAAATGTACTCTTGACAAATTAAGTGCACAAGACAGTTCAGACAGTGTTGTGTGGCAGCTTGCTAGCGTTCGTTCATCTTGCATAATAAAACTTTCTACCTGCTGAACAAATCCCCCAACCCATTTCGCCTGACAGCCATTTACTGTTTCTATGAGTTCGGCTGTTGGAGGTACCTTGTATAGTTAGAATCATGTAGAATTTGTGCTTCTGAGTCTGACTTATTCCACTTAGCATTGTGTCCTCAAATTCATCCATGTTGTGTGTTTCAGGATTCCATTGTATGTACATACCACGTTCTTTTTTTTTTTTTGCAACTGCAATTTTACTTTCTTTTGTGAAAATAAACAACTGGGAGTTTAAATTGCTCCCCAAAAAAACCCATAAAAACAAAAAGAAATACACACAGAAGCATGTGAGGTGCATACCACATTTTCTTTGTCCATTCATCCGTTGATAGACATTTAGGTTCTTTCCATAACTTGGTTATGGTAAATAATGCTTCAAAGAACATGGGGGTAAGTTGGGGGTGCCATATGTCATTAAGATCCTGGTTTCTATTCTTTTGAATTAATAGTAGAAATAGGATTGCTGGATCACACGGTAGTTTTTTCTTTCTTTCAATTTTGTGAGGAACCTCTGCAGTGTTAAGAACTTTTAAGTGCTTTATGAATTCTTTCCATTTCAACACAGAATATTAAAGGACTCAGGATTTTTTATTGCTTCATCAAAAGCACACTTACATAAAATTAATTTTTTAACTACAAATTCATGGTCATGAAGAATACGGTGGCCATTAGGACAGTTCGGTACCACTGCTTTGATCCCTGCTAAAGCAACTCATTGCTTTAGAAGCATCTGGGCAAATGAGCATGGTGGGAAAGGCACATGGCCTGCATAGAAGTGGGCCTCATGAGAAGGTCTCAGGCACCTGCTTCAGAGATTCCTAGACCAGGCTGTGGTATACTAATCTCACAGTACAGCTGAGAAACCTAGTTTTGAAAGGGAAAGTAACATAAACTAAGGTCAAGAAGGTTTTAGTGGCAGAACTAAGATATTGTTCTCATGAGTTATACATTCTATACCAGTTCAACTTTTTTAAATAAAGTGTGGTAGTTTAAGAATGTATAGATTTATTAAGAGAACATATATTATTTATATTATTTTTACTAAAAGAGTCTGTTTCCATTAATGCCAGATCACTCTGATTAGAATTTTAAGCAACTCTTGGAAGGCTGAGAAAAATCAAGCTTGTTTTAAATTTTTCCTCCTTTCAACAAATGTCCATGTCTAAAACATATCACTGACAAAAATCTCTAGGCAAAGGCACTGTAGCATTCATATTTCTCAAGTTAGGGACCTTGGTGTTCAGGGCTATTCATTTTGGCCATTATCCTTTAAAATGATTTCTAGCTTAATTGAGCATTTAAAAACAGAACATCAGAATGAACCAAAAAAGAGTCTTGTGCTGCCTTTCCCACACTGGAATCAGGTAGCATCCTCAGAACTCTGAAATATGACTGCCTGGGGCTGGGGGGGAGGCAGGGGGGATCAAAACTAGATCTGAATTAGGAATGGATTAAATATGAGAAAGTATGAATTAATAATCAGGAAAATATCTTAGTAATTAGAATTAGGATGGGGTATTTAAATAGAGAGGCAAGAGAAAAGAGTAACTTGAGAATGTAAACTATAAAAGAAGAAAATAGTTTATGAAAGGAATCAAGAAAAGGGTGCTATGTCATGGAGAGTCCCTAAAGGGAGGTGTGATGCCCAGTAGTAGTACATTGTCATGATGGGGTCATGGAGCTGCAGGTCCCCTAGCCTGTGTTAAGGGTCCTTCCTACCCTGGTTTGCACAGGCCTCCAAACTGGGTTCCACAATGCTTTATGTTTTGGGGGTTTGGCTGTTTTTTTCACTTATTTGGTGTACAGTAATTTTAGGTGGTAATATTTCTTTAACATCTTATTTAAGAGAAAAATTACTAAAGAATATCTATTTTTTCAGTAGCTATTTCTTTAAACATTATACTTGTGCACGCGTGTGTCTGTCTGTCTGTCTGTCTCTCACGGGTCAGGCTCACTGTCCTAGTCCTGCATTCATCTGTCTCATTCCTTAGGCACCTACTATCAGCTGCTTGTCTAGTTACTGGGGAGAGAGAGCTAAGGTTCCCTTTCAAAGAGCCTGCATTCTAGAAGAGGCAAACTGACCACAAATAAGCAAATTTCCAGGCAGAAGAACAGGTCAGTGCAAAGACTTCAAGGCAGAACGGAAACAAATTAAGAAGAGGGGAAAGGGTAGAGCCTTTATGCCAGCTAAAGCTGTATACCTTTGGATTTAATTTTAGGAGTTTGGGAAAATTGTTGGCAGATTTTAAGTAAGGGAGAAGTATAATCTGATCTGTATTTTTGTAAGAAATCTCCAACTACTGTCTGGAGAAAAATCTAGGAGGCAAGTGTAAAAAAAGTAGTTTGGAACTAAGGTCATAAAATCCAAGTAAGAGT